AAATATAGTTTGTCTGTTTACCTCTGTTTTTGTATGACCAGCAAGTAAAGAATTATTTTTACATGTTTTAATAAAGTTTTATTGTATTTTAAAATGTAAACATTTAAAAACAGATGGAGCCCTGAAATCAGGAGGACCTGAGTTCAAATCTGGCCTCAGACCAAACACTTGACACTTACTAGCTGTGTGACCCTGGGCAAGTCACTTAACCCCAATTGCCTAAAAAAAAAAAATTAAAAAAAAAAAACAACAGATGGAGAGCTAGATTTGGCCCTCAAGCTATAGTTTTTCTTCCCCTGGTCTAGACAATCAACAAGACAATACATCAGGCCCTAAATTAAAGCTTTTCAGATTTGCAAAGTGCAAATTTCAGCTCACTTTGAAAATTTGACAATTGGCTTTCCTGCCTTGGTACTGGCTCCACATATGCTTGAATCCAGGAAAGTAAGTCAGCTTCTTAAAAATTAAAGTTTAGTTTCTGCAAGTTTACAAGCAGAATAATCAAATCTGCATATGTTAATATTCATTAGTACCATAGACAGATTTTATCCTGAAATAGATGGAAGGGGTTATAGCTAGCAAATACAGAAATCAATATCTATATGTCTATATAAAAGGTATAGGCTTTCCTAAACCGGGCCATAAAGCCACTTCCTGGCCATTTCCATGTAATCTACATTCTGAACGTCTTCCTCCTATCACTTGATCTCAGACTCTGCCCTTGGTACTCTGGACCCTCATAGGTAAGCCTTCACCTTATCTTGCCTATAACCAGGTTGTCTCACCACTTTCTAGTCATTGTCAAAGCATGCCACCATCACCGCCTCCTTTCACATGTCTTCTTTCATTATCTTGTAAGTTTCTTGAAGGCAGGAACTATCTTACTTGCTTATATTTTTAGCACAGTGCCAGCATAGAGTAAACACTTAAATGCTTTTCCATCCATTCATTCACTCATTACTGTGATATCCTAATATTTCATTCCTCTTTTTTTTCTTTATAAGATTTTGTGGTTGGTTTTCTTTTTTTTTTTTTTTTTACTTTATTCTCATTCTCTCTAACTATCTCCTCCATCAGTTTATCGCATTACTGAGTTCATGCATTTCCTGGAAAATGGATGTTTTATGTCTTCCCATAACTCATACTGTTTAATGATTTTTTTTAAATTTTGGCCTTGGACATGATTCAAGCTACCTGCTTTCTTCAAATTATAAACATTATGGATTCATTTATATGTAAGAGAAGAGTGATGTGATTCTCTCCCTCACCCCTCAGTTGATGTAGTCACAAAGGACAAGAATATTAATAAAAGTTGGACAAGAAAATTGTATGGGTTGCCTAGGTTCACATAGCTAGCATAATTGTCTGAGGTCAAATTTGGATTCAGGTCTTCCTGATGCCAGATCCAATGCCTTATCAATTGTGCCATCCAGCTGCCTCTATGTTAATGAGGTGTTAAACTAATTCTAAAAGATCCATTTATGCTCTCATCCCTTTGTGAGGTACAAATGCTTTTCTGTTGGGTCAAGAGGAGAATGGTTTGGGATTGGCTAACCAAAGGAATTTGGCCACGTCTCTGGGAGCTTTAAATAGCTAAGAATCTTGATGAATTTCAGTGAGGGACCCTGGGACTTTTGTTTTCTCCTCTCTCCCTACATTGACCTCTTCGTTTTGAAGTGAAGCTCCTACCAGATCAGTAGGAGACACTACACCCAGTGGGGTACAAAGATCTACACTCCAGACCTACGCAGATTCATAGAGACTGTCCATTGAGGGAGGAACTACCTTCAGGTGGCTAGTCCTGGCAATTTAAAGTCTAGCTGTGGAGAAGAGTTGACCCTCAGGACCTTGAATAATAACTCCAAAAAGGCTCTGCAGTGACAGTAGTTGGGAGTTGCCTTTGTCATACATCTATCTTACACGTTTGCCTCAGCACCATTGTATTCTGTCTTTACCTGTTCTTCCCTGTTTATATATTATGTAGAAGAGAGATAAGAGGACAAGTATTCTTACTATGCGGTTGAAGAAAACGACTTCAACTGAATTGAATTGAATTCAATTGAAGATTCAAGATGAATCTTACTGGCTGATTGTTTAGGTGTGAAGCACTTTGGTTGGGGAATCATGAACCAGAGGCATTTATTAAGCACTTATTATGTACTAAACACTGTGCTGGGGATATAAATACAGCAAAAAAAAAAAAAAAAAAAAAAAAGACAGTCCCTGTCCTCAAACAGCTTACTTCTAATGAGGAAAGACTACACATGAAAGGCAACTGAAAAGGAGAGTGAGGTGGTAAGGGTGTAGGGTCAAGAAGGGACCCAAATAGGGTTGTGATAGTGAGGTCTAGAGAGTCAGAAGTACTGCTGGGAGGTGAATGAGGAATGGCCAGCCTTGGCCCATCTCCAGAATGGAGCTTCCTGGAAGAAACTCACGAGTGGGAAGAGGAGACCAGTTTAGCAGAGAGAGGTTCCAGAGTGAGAAGGCCCCAGGTGTTGGAGTAAAGTTCTGTAGGAGAAAACAGCTCAGTCCTGGTGACAAAGTCTGGAGTGTCAGAAGCAGATCCAGGTAGAGAACGAACTATAGAGTACAAGAAATGCAGACCGAAAGGGTTACTCCTGGAATCTGAGCGAGCTGCTATCCTCTGGGGGACCCAATTTGCCAGTGCATGTTCCACAAAGCCAGAGGTTACATGTAAATAAAGTTTCTGTTCCTATGTCCTCTGAAAAGCACTGAGATACATAAATTAGAATCATGAGTTTAAAACAAAAGTCTCTCACAAACCCTGTTCTCATAAAATATGAGAGCAGCCAGACAGGCAAGAAAGGGAGGCTGCATAACTTAGCAGCAAAACCATGGAATAGCCTCATATTTACTTTGTATATATGCAAATGGGATCTGGTACATATGCACAGTGCTTCACTTGGCGGACACAAGGAAACGATGCTGGGAGAACTTGTAAGGAAAATACTTCAGGAAGATTATGGCACTTGCTTGGACACTCTGTAACTGGTTCTAGTCAGCTAACCTGGTGTGGGGAGACGGCTCTCTGGTTTTAGAGGCATTCCAAAAAGTCTGTCAACTTCAACCACCTCCTCTTCTTCCTCATTCAAATCATCAGAAAGTATTTATAAGTGCCTTCAATGTGGCAGGCACTATACTAAGCACTGGGGATACAAAGAAAGGCAAAAAAAAAAAAAATCCCTAACTTCAAGAACCTTACAATCAAAGGTGGGATGTGTGACATTTGAAAAGTTCAAGAGGAATAATTTCTGGGTAATTAACCATTTTATTAATAATGCCAACATTTTATTAATAAAAGAGGTCAGTGGCACTTTCGAATGCCAAAGACTCCCTCCTGGCAGTGGACTCACAGTTTATATGCCTTTGGAAGAATAGGTGCTCCTGAGGGTGGCAATCAGTTCTGACTGGTTAACAAATAATAAGAGAATAAATATTATAATAAGGCCGGCCCAAGGGAGCATGGGCCTTACAATGAATATTACAAAGTTCTAATGAACTTTGATTGTGTCATTTACTTCTAAATTGCCTAGCCTTGGGCAATCTATTCAAAGAATTTATCCCTACCCAAGCCTGAGTAGACCACCTCACCTGGGTGGTGTCTGAACTTGATTGTTAAGAAAGTTAATACAATCTCTTTATCAGTAATGTCTTTCAGAGACTGAACAACCTGTAGGCTTCTGAAAAAATCCTGGTCCTAATTCAATAATTGATTATTAATATGAGGGAGAAATAATCATGGGGGAGGCATGAAAACAACAAGCCAACAAGATATATATAGAATAAATGGAAGGGGGTATTGGAGGGAAGGATCTAACACTAAAGGGGTTAAGGAAAGGCTTCTCTTAGAAGTTGTGAGTTTAATTGAGACTTGAAGGAAGCTAGCTAAAGGAGAAGGCAAAGATGAGAAGAGAGAATTCCAGACATGGGGGACAGTCAGTGATGATGCCTAGAGTTGGTCTTGTGGAAGGAATAACTGGGAGACCACCGTCACCGGATCATGGAGTATGTGAATGAGAATAAGGTGTGAAAAGATTGGAAAGGTAGAAGTGGGCCAGGTTTTGAATTCCTGGGGGTAAGAGGGAACACTGGAGTTTTTTGAACAAGGGGGTGACATGATGAGACGTGTTCTTTAAAAAGATCAGCGACAGCTGAGTGGAGGAAGGATGGGAGCCAAGAGACTTACGTCAGACTGACCAATGAGCAGGCTATTGCATTAGTCCAGGCATGAGGTGATGAGGACCTGTGTCAGGGGGATGGCAATGTCAGAGGTTTGGCTTCACTCAGCACATCTACTACAAATATATTTTTATATACTTAAACGTATAGTGTTTCTCCCCAAGCATTGCAAGCTACTTTGGGAGCGGGACTAATTTTGTTGTTTTTTTTTCTTTGAATTCCCAGAGTTTAGCACAGTGACTGAAACAGATCAGTGCTTTATATGATGATGATGATGATATATGCATATATAAATACACTCTCTCAGCAAACAGCCTATCTGGGGAACATGAAAGGCAAGTCCTCCAGCTGTCTTTGGTTGTCGTTTACCCTCCCTGCATGACAATTATATTTTTGTTGCTGCTGCCTGCCCCTGGACACACAACACATAAGCACATAGAGCTAGATATGGATACATAGAGATAGCTGGATATCTGTATATCTAGCAGCATGTATACGCACGTTGCTATGTTGATTAATGAGGCAGCCTCGAAGGTTTCTGCAGAGGAAGCTGTTAAGACCTTCCCTCGCTCCGCGCCCAGCACGTGCCTCTCGCCTCGTCTCGTCTCCCTCAGTTCCAACTCAGCCAGAGGGAAGAGTAGAGCGGCCCGAAGAACTACACTTCCCAGGGTGCTCTCGGCCCGGGTCGGCCCACCCGCGCATGCGCGGTGACGGCGCGAGGGGGGGCGGAGCTGCCGGGGCGCGTGTCCCACACCGTAGCTGGACCCGCTGGCGCCCGCCGCCGTTTCGCGGAAGCTCAGGAGCGCCTTGCTCGCAGCCTCTGCCCCGGGCGGAGCAGGGCACCCGGGAAGTCGGCGCCGCCTGTGGTGGAAGAGCGCAGGAGTCGGGGAGGAGGAGGGGGGTGGACCCATTTCAGAAAAAGCTAGGTAACGAGGCCTCCGGTCCGCTCCGACACCCCGCCATTGTCCCCTTCGTGCACCCCGCTGTGCACTTGAGGGGAGACCCGCGGCCCCCCGTCGCGCTGGGCCTCGGGGGGCGGGGGGAGCCCGCGGCCGCCTTGGGCAGGCTCGCCGTCCCCCGCCGCGGCGGCCCCCCCCCCCGCCGGGTCGCTTCCCCGCTGGGGGAGGCAGGACGGACGCTCCGGACGCCGGACTCCAGTGTCCGGCAAAGGGGAGACCCTTCGGGAAGGGGAGGGGGCGAGCCGAGAGCGCCCCCCGGAGCCCGGGGCCTGGAGCGGCCTCGAGACCCGGCGGCGGCTGGGGCCGGACGGCCGGACAGAAGCTGCGCCAGGCTCCTCTCCGCCGCCCCGGGGGGCGGGGGCGGGGGTCCTCGGGGCCGCGGAGGCGCTCCGGGACCGGGGAGGGGGCGGCCGGGTCTGCTGGACCCGCGTTCAAATCCAGCCTCAGACACCTCCTGGCAGCGTCACCCTGAGCCAGTCACTTCACCCCGTTTGCCTCAGTTTCCCCATCCGTCAAATGATCAGGAGCAGGAAATGGCAAACCAAATGGTGACCCAAACGGGGCCACGGGTCAGACACGACCGGACGCAGCCGAAGGTAGAATCCGCAGGAGTGGACAGCGGCTGTGGGGGAGGAAGTGGCCAGGGCAGGACCGCGGTGCCCAGAGGGTCTGCTCCGTTTCGGACACTGGGAATTGAAGGCTCCTGGGGCCGTCGGGCTCAAGTGTCCGGCAGGCACGCGGAGGTCAGGCGAGCTCGGGGCTGCGCACCTGTCGGAGGCATCCGCACGGAGACAGTTGAATTAGTGCGTTTGTGCGATGTGGTAGCTGACATTTATATGGCCCTTGTTGTTGTCCGAGGGCTTTACCGTATTACCTCTAATGGTCCTCACGGTAATCCCGCAGTGGAGGTGCGGCTGCTTTTGAGCCTCGATGGAGTCAGGTTTGTGTGATTAAAAAAAAGGGCGCAGCCACGCGTGAACCTTCCCCTAGTTTCCTGGAGCTGGGCATGCCTCCCCTTAAAAACAAAAAAAAAAAGCTACCTTGAATTTATTTTGTGCGCAATTATATGTGCACGTAGCTGTCCTGGTAGAATAGAGATTCTTACCCCTTCTTGTGTTGTGGGTCCCTTTGGCCATCTGAAAAAGTCTATGGACCCCTTTTCAGAATGTTTTAAAAATGCACGAAATACGTAGGACTACAGATGAAAGCAATTATATTGAAATGGTGAAATGTTCTAAAAAATATTCCCAGACGTCCCAAAACCCCAGGGATGAAATGTTTTCCTCGCTTAGCAGCTAGAAGGCATTTGTTCTATCAGTTTCCTGATAGTGGTTTTGTGGCTTCATGAGAATAAAATCTTCCCGCCTCCCAGTATTTTGCTTGTCGGTTAAGTTAGGAGTGTGATATTTCTCTCTGGTATTTTGCATCGTGGTATTTAGAGGTTTGTTCAGGCACAGGTGTTTGGCTTCTCTGCGTCTTTGGCAGCTTTTCTCTTATAGTTCTGAATTTAATGAAACACTTGAGCCCCTCACCATTCTTATTAGCCTGTCTTGTAAGAGAACTGTATTTTAAAAATAACTATTTGAAACGTTTAGCAGAGAATTTTATCTGCTGATAGAATTTTTTCATTGTTTTACTCTCATTTATGTTGACTTGTTTAATATTTGCCAGTTTGCTTTTTATCAATACTTTGTATACTTTTTTTCTCTCCTTCCTCCTTGGCCCAAGTGCCTTGTATGGATGGGGAACCTGTGGTCTCAGGCCACGTGACTTCGAGGCCGCAGGTTCCTCATCCCTGGAAGAGTATGGGCAGCCAACAGCTGGCCAAGGTAGCTTGTGGACCATCTCTCTCGACTAGAAGTCTCTCTTTTCTTACTACTTCATGATGTAAATTTAGTTGGTCAAAGAGTCGAGTGTAATAATAGCTCACTTTTATCTAGCATTTTATGGTTTATACCAAGGCATGCCTTGAAATTTACATTTTACACACAATGTTTTGTTTTGTTATTTGGTTGGGCAGTGAGGTTAAGTGACTTGCCCAAGGTCACGCAGCTAGTAAGTGTTATGTGTCAGAGGCTGGATTTGAACTCGGGTCCTCCTGAATCCAGGGCTGGTGCTCTGTCCACTGCACCACCCAACTGCCCCGAAATTTACATTTTAAAAATATGTACTAATTGTTATGAATATTGATGTAAAGTAGATTGCACTATAATGTTCCCAATTATCTATAGTTATCTTTAAGGTCATCCTGGACTTTTAAGGCAGTTTAATCTCTCGTCACTTGATAAATATCGGTGTCCTGATATCACTTACATATTCTGAGGTACTAAGTTTATTGAGAGAAAATTTGTTCCATTCTGAGGGAACTTTATGAACTAAATATTAATAGATATCTAGTATTAGAAGCTTAGGGAAGTCATTATGACAGTTAAGTATACCCCTTATAAGAATAGGAATTTGGGCTTAAAAATCAGATGTATGTTATTTTGGTTTTCTGTATTTGGATATACCACAAAGAGTCATTTATTTTGAAGTTGAAGACTTAAGTTTATGAATTGAAAATATACGTGATTGTATTTATGAGTACTTGAATTTGATTTTATTTCTACCATGTTACATTAAGTCTCTGCTTTTTAAAATTTATTTATTCTGTATTAACTTATTGAAATGAATCAAGATGAAATGAAAGGTTTTTAATCTCTTATTTCTTGTACATATTAGATATAGTTTCAGAGTTGTATAAGATGCTTTGAGTCCTACTTAAAGGGATTTTGTCTTTCTTTCTATAGACTATATTTTCTAAAAGAAAACTCTTAATAGTTCATTTTCCAGTGGATTTAGTTAGTCTATGTTAATGTGGAAAACATGGATTTTTTTCATCAAAGAAACGTATTTGTAGTGAGTATGTTATCAGAATTCCAATGACTTTAGTTCACGTGAGTTAGGCCTGTTCTAACAATAACAGAATTGGAAGGACTGTTAGTAAAGTTCTGTATTTCATTGCCCTTTCTTGGGATGGTTGTTTAAATGAATGACATAGAGCATTTACTCTCTGCTTTCTTTCTAGTATTGAAATGTTATATTTTAGGATATAGCATCTATAACCTAATAATAACATGATGTTTATGTTCATATAGGACCATGACAGGACAGATCCAGCATTAGACATTCATGGTTTATTTTCTAAGGCTACTGTATTTGAAAAACACAATAACAAAAGACAAACAGGGCTTCATTTTTCATAATGGAAGCTTAGATTATTTGCTTTTACAGGAAAAGGAACATTCTCCTTCCCTGTGATATGCAATATAAAGGCATCTAGTGAATGTTAAATACTAGTTGATAATTATATAGCTTTCAGTATTGTTTTAAATGGAAAACAGATAAGTATAACTTCAAGAAGTATTCATCCTCTTTTAGAAATTTAAAACTTGTTTATATGAATTAGGTCATGTTTTATAATATAGTTGATAAATTAGAAGTTCTCTAATATGCCTAATTGAAATTTGAGATTTTAGACTTAACGTCAACTAAGTTAAATTTCATCTTTTATCCCTGAAATCTGAGCTGTTGTATCAGACTGATCTGTTTCCCTGGGGGATAAGTTGCTAGGCTATGGAACTATGTGGTTTAAGGCCAACTCTTGTTTCTGGATCAGTTAACTGCTAGCATCCACAAAACCTAGTGAGGATTTAATGGGCAAATGTTGCCAGTCACAGTGTTATTAATGAGTTTGGGCAGCAAGACAACATTGGAGAGTATGTGTTGGGGGTTAGGGGGTGGAAACTGGCAAACATTTTCACCTAAAATTGAATACCAGATTCATTTTAGTGACATAAGTCAAAAATTTAAGATATATAGAATAAATTATAGGTCTGTGTGTTTTCTAGGCTTTCAGTGTAAAGAGAAATAGAGTCTATAATTTTCTACATTGAGCACTTAAGATACAGTCACCTCAACCTAGATTTTTTCACCCCTGGTGATTGGTCGGTCGCTCATGGACACTTCCTTTTAATGAAGGGTCTAGGCCAGCCATGCTCACTTCTTCATTCCTCTCTGGGCTCTGCTTCTGTCGCTATGGACCTTTCTCTTCACTATGTTTCAGCAGCCATCCTGGAACATGCCTCAGCCCTTGCTGCCTGGAAGCAGCCTTCTCATCCTGGAAGATCCTTTTGACCCTATGGTCCCCTACTCCTCTATTGGTGAGTTCCTCTTGGAACCTCCAGTTGAGGAAGTGACAAGGCCAGCCGTGCTTATGCCTTCATTCATCTACCATCGCCGCTCCTGAGTCTCCAGATTTTTCATCCATAATCCTGTGTATGGGTACTTCCCCACTCCCCAATCTCCTTTTCAGCACCCTTTTATGTGTTGTCTTCTTCCATTAGAATGAGAATCTTTTTGTTTATATTTATTAATGGCAGAACCTAGCTTTCTTGTTACTTGTATTCCCAGCACTTAGAACAGTGCCTGGTACATAGTAAGCACTTAATGTTTGTTGACCTGATTTTAGATACCACTTTTACTGTGCTCTGAAAAGGAAATCCTTACAATGCAAACTTTCAGCAACATGAGTTTTATTACACAACTTTCCTAATTTGCCAGTTAAGATCTGCTGTGAGAAACATTTGTGAATAATTTTCTGAAATTGACTAAGTGAAAAAATTATAACTAGTTTTATACCTATTGTATTTTCACATGCTTTTTGTTTTAAAAAAAAAACAACCCAATTTTACAGATTACTATCTCTCTGCCTTTGTTTTTATTGAGTAAGAGTATATAGGTTTCAAGAATTGAGCTAAAATTGGACATGAGCACAGTAGACATTCTCCAAGGTCGGTCTGGTTAATAATTTCTTTCCAGTATAATGTGAAAGAAATAATCAATTTACTCTTGTTTTTTGGCACAACTCTGCCAGAAACAAATTTATTAATTATCTTATAACTCTAAACATCTCACTTTAGGGAATG